CACGATCACAATTAATTTTTTGGTTTAATAACATTATATTTCTTTATTTATGAAAAAAAGAGGAATTATATTTACGTAATTTAAAAACACTAGGCTATAAATAATAAATGTGAGATATAAGAATATATGTCTCTTGTATATTTATTGTATATATATATTGTGTATTAATTTAAGTTAATTTACGTAAGTTAAATAAAATATTTTTTTTAATTGTTACTCAGTTAATAACAAGATAAAAGTATGTAATATTATAAAATTACAATTTTAATATTATTCATCTCCAATACGTTTACATATTAATCTATAAATCTATAAGTATAGATTTATATCATTGATTAATTACGCACACAAATTTAATTTAATATAAATAAAAGCATGTGATTCACAATTTTAATATCACTTGTTTTCAAAATTTGCTTAATCCATCAAGAATGATTTATATCATTGATCGATTATATAGTTGATATAATTATTCTCGCGTGTAACCAGCCAAAACACACATGCACACTTGCGTGCATGCACCGGCAAATACTCATCAAGATCACAGAAATCATGTGACACCTAGCGGATATCACATAAAACGTACAATACTTTGATGATAACTAAAATATTATTAAAATTTTCGATGTAAATTTTTGCATAATTTCTATAAATTGTTTTTTTTTTTATTCTTCCTCTCTTGCTATGCTTATATTATTCATTTTAGATAAAATTTTAACACACACGCATATATATAGAGACATATCATCTTTACGATGATATATTCATAAACCGATGAAAAGATTAATACAATAATCGAGAATCTGTTTTTTTCAGGTTTGTCATTTAACGAACAGTTACGATCGCAATGCGAGAAATGCTACATTCATCTACTCTGACGAAGCAGAACGACCGTTACATCGTAAAGCTCATCGCACACAGATTTACATAAGTGCATAAACACACGGCATATATAAGTGTCTCGCGACTAATGAAATACTCAAAATAAATTCTGCGCAACAATATGTCGAGCTTACGTTAGACGTTTCATTGGACAAGGCATTTATGTATTACATGTGCATACTGTTATGTCAATTTGTGCGCGAACAACAGTCTTAAGTTCTGTCAGCCAACTTCTCTTCTGCATCGACGATCAAAGAGAGAAAACCACGCTTGAGCGTCTCTAATATGCCCCATGTTCGCGATCGTTCGGAAAGTTGTTGCGTATTTCTCGATAAAAGCACTTCCCGAACGCTCGAGTGAAATGTACTCATTTAGAACGGATTGCACCAGTCGTCAATTAGCGCTAATCGCGGTTAAATTTCCCTATATGCATGTAATGCGTATAACTAGGTCCATGATCTGGCGGTGGGAATAAGGAATAGTTAAATCAGAGAGTGACCAAAGTTGAAAGATAACAAATCTATAAATCTTAAATCTCTCTTTCTCTCTAAATTTTTAATTTTAATTCCTGAATCATCTGTTTTCTTCGCGCTATATTTTCATAATTTTTTTTTTTTTTTACATTGTATTCGTAAAAAATAAATATTTCGCGATGGAACAAGATTATAATATATATATATCTAACTATGTGTATATAAAAATAGTTACAACTAATATAATAATTTATTAAAAGAGAATTCCTGTATATATTTTATGAACAGAAAGATACCGATATCGCGCACAGAAACGATTTATCTCGAAATAATTATTCAAAGATTTCTCGATATCTCTCGAAATTGTAGGAGATGATTTTTGACGGATCATAGTTTACAGATGCTGTCCATCTGTGATTGACGGAAATTATCAATACCGTAATGTTCGGGTACTAGCCGGAAGTAAGATCCACGTGTATCGTGCATCGCAAAATCGTCGAAGAGAAGGGGAAAGGAGACAAGGGACGGCTTTATACTTTCCTAGCAAGCGATTCAATAAATTGATCACGTAAAAGAAACGTATATACGCAACAGTTTTTTGCATATTCATGCACAGGCATTAGTTTAAACGAATGCATTGACAAGTCTCTAGTTTGACCCATTTTGTATGTCAGCATCACGTTAAGAAGCGAAAGATACACGGAAAAAAAAATTAGCTGCCGTAGCTAAAAACTGCGTGTGGTAACTAGATTTCAGTCGTAATATATGGACAGCGAACATCTTAGCTGTGACACCTATTTATTAGGTGCAACAGCAAACATCTTAGCTGTGATACCTATTTATTAAGTGCAACAGCAAACCGTTTTGCTGTGATTTAGAAATTTATTTTGCAAACCATGATTAGCTATGGTAGCGAAAATTTTTTTTTCCTTGTATAATTTCCCTCGATTATCATGAAAAACTCCGTTTATCAAAACAACAACAAATTTTTCTAAAATAAATCTTAAACGTTTGTTTCTTCTCGGCTAAAAACAATTTAATTAAATTTAAGAAAAACAGATATCGCGTGAGGACTTCTTTCGAATTATATCTCGTAAACTATAGTGTTTAATTAAATCGATTATTGCAGATAGAACATGAATCAACTTTTCTACGAAAATTACCTCTATTGTAGGAATTGTATAGTTAGGCTGTAAATGAATCATGAATCCGTGCAAAAAGTTTCTTAATCAGATTAAATGCTTATAAATAGTAATTTCGATAAAAATCACACATAATGACATACAATTGCAAAATTTTGTTTTTTATACCTGAAGAAATATTTCTTATCACATATATCCATTCCGAATGACCGATACTCTTTTTCTCTCTCTTTCTCTTTTTAGCTAAGAGTAATTCTGGACCCTTTTTACAAGTACGAAGCATTTTCTTCACTACCGTCGCGAGCGACGATCTCCCTTTCCCTCTGTAAATGAGAAAGCTCAATAAAGTACCGGGTGGCGATCACGATCTCACCGCATCTAAAATCACCCGGCGGTCCTCGTGATTGTATTAATTCACTTGACAGAATACAGAATACGGGACGCAGGGTGTATACAGATGCCCCGTGGGTTCGCGCGTGGATGTATTGTCTTCTCGGCTCCTTTCTCGCATTAGCATAAGAATTCAGCGTGTGCCTGATGCGCCTATCAATCGGCCCCCCTCAGTGAATCAAGACTTAAATCTTGCACCATGATCAACCGGCAGTCCGAATGTCGAAACGTCGTCATCATCGATCGAGAAATCTGAAACGCGTTGACCCGTAAAAACACTTTGGGCCCAAATAATCCGGACATTTTTAGAAAGAAAACAGCAACGCGATATTGTGATAAGAAGATGAACTGTTAGAGTTTCACGAGAGCGCATATTGTTTAATGAAAATATTAATAATTATGTCGCGATGGGAATTTTTATAAATTGCACACATTAAAGAGAATTTAATATCAATAAGGAGAACATATAAACAGATCAGATGAAATTAATGGAATAAATTAATGAAATTAACAGAATAATAAACAATAAATAATTAAATATTTTCTAAACAATAAATAATTAAATTTTTCTATTATTTTAATAAATAATTAAATATTTTCTAATTTTGACGATCTAACGTATTATACGTAGATATATCTCATAAAAGCATAGATTAAGTGGGATATAAACTGTGAAGATTAAATCTTTCAAAACACAATATGATAATTCAAACCTCTTAAAACACCCACATGTATAGCCATGCTTTTACCTAAATTTGTACGTGCTTAAGAGTCGAGAAGACTGAATTGTTTCGGCGCGAATGCGCAGCGCAAAGTCGAAGTGAGGAACGAAAGGATCGACGATCCAGTGGTGGCTCCAGTCCCAAGAACAGAAATTGTTACGTGCTCGCTCCGGCAGCGTGATCCGAATGCTCATGCGAGCGGCGATCGGCCGCGGTCATCCAGAGCCGAGAGGAGAGACTCACGAGAGTCCCGTAGCGTTACTCAAGCGCGGAGAAGCTTTCTTCGATGGACACACACGCATACACGTACGTATGTATATAGTACCGTAGCTGCGCGGTGAATAGACGGAGAGAAATCCCGATAAAAATCCTGATAAAAAAATAGTATTTTTTTATCACAAGTCTACTGTGGAAATTAATAATGATATAATAATATAAAAATATAACAGGAAATTGTTTGTGAATATTTAAAAATAATAGAACAAACAAAAAATATATATATAATATAAATAGCAGAAAAAATATTAGAAAAAAAAAAAACTAATAATTTATCGCTTATACTCTCATTTTCATATTACATTTAAAGTTTCGTCAAATTATCATAATACTATTTTACGGAAATTTTAAAGATACTGTTTGGAGTTTATTTTCACGGAAATCGAGAAAAAGAAGTGGGCGCAAAAGTGATAGCCACATGGCTGCGCACGTCAAAAGGCGATTGTCCGTCCATGCGGAAGCAGAGAGCTCACGGCTCTGCATCTATCCCTCGATCGCCTCTCACTCGCAGGACACGTACTCGTCGTGTCCCCGTACACGTCCTCGCGTGTCGTAGGCTCTGTGCGTGTACGCGGTATGTATCACCGCGCCGATACGCGCGCGCGTATAGGTACGCATTGTCCGCATAGGCTCGCGATGCCGAAACGGCCGACCGGGATGTCAGACGGGAATCTGCGCGACGGTGGTATCGAGGGCAGCTCCCGCGAAGAATTTAAAGAGCAGATCGATCGTAATCTCCTAGGCACGCCCTAAGTCTTCTCGAACGCGTCCGCTTTCGATCACGATTTCTCGGAGTTTATCCTTGAATTATTTTGAGAAAGAGAGAGAAAAATATTGTAGGTAGAATATAAAATTATACATATCCATAAGATTGGAACGCGATTAGAAAGATTATGTAATATTCTATAATCTAGGATCAAAATAAATGAAAGATATCAAGATAAATTATTTTCGAAATTATATACTTTCATTATTGAAGTAATATTGATATACAATTTTTTGAGCTTATTTTCATTTATTTAAAAAATTAATGATATATAATAATACGAAGAAAAAATCTATTATCACCGATAAATCTTTAACTTTACAGCTTTTTTTTTTTTATATTTTTCCATAACTTTCCAAGATCTTTCGATATATTTACTATACCGAAAAAAAAGTTGCAGTAAAAATATTCTTCCGCATATCGTAAAACAAAGAATCAAATAAGTTATATATATCGATCATCAATCATCGCTTTATTCTGTGTTCTATTTAATTTAATACTAATAAGTTTGTTGACAGAGCAATCGTGCAAACGAGATTTAATATCTTTAATGTGAGTTCGAATAGTTTCGATAAATAATGTTTTGATAAACGAAGTTTCATCACACTATCTATCATAGAGTGTTATTCACGCTGAAATTCGACAGTCCTCTCGCTTTATGACTGGGTCTTTAATGCGTTCTACTCACCAAACAGGTAGATGTTTTTATGAATGCGACTGGCATTGTCTGTGGATGATACCGCCGAATATGGACGGTAGCCGAAGATGATCGGGAGGGATGAGACTGCTTAACAAATAAGGACGTGACGTAGCAGCGACTTGACCTATAAGGCAAACGGATTTGCTGTTAATAGTCAATATGCATTAGACAAACAATGAGCGGATCTTTGGGCCGCACACGATGCCAATCGTCTCTTCTCTGCAATGACGTTACAGAGATTTTGAGAGGTGAAGGTCATATTTATAACTACAAAAATACTATTAGAAACTGTTTGTGTACATACATAAAGAACAGTTATGTGTTTTACCTAGCAAATATCAAGTAAATCAAAATTAAATATCAATAAAATATATTTTTTTTTTAAATTATTTTTAAGAAAGTGCAATAAATATGGTCGAAGCATGCAAATAAAGAGAATAAAAATAAAAATATTTATATACATAAATCATATATAAAAATGCGTGTATGATTATATAAATTTTATTATATACGAGATTTTCCTTGCTTTAGTAAACCAAAAAAAAAGATAATATAATATTTCAGATAACCGCATAATATAATAAATAAATTAAGAAGAAAAATATATTTGAAAAGCACAAAAAATAAAAATGTTTAAGTCGCTCTGAAGTTGAATAATTATTATTTGCTCCGTCTTTTATTCGCGTCATTAAATTTTTAGACAAATTATGGATGACACATGTATATACAATGATATATAACCAATTATAGCCGATGTTAAGCAGCCAATGAAATAATAACTAAGAAAATTTTTGGAAAAAATTTAACGGAGAAAATTTAAATTAACCATGATTCTCGACTCGGAAACATCGAGTTCCGACACAAAAATGAAGAATAGTGATCATAACATAAAAAATTCCAAGGTATGTATTGATTTTAATTAAAATAAGTTCTCTTAATCAATCTTCTTAATTCAGGTGCGTGAATAATTATTTTTCCAAGACCTTTTATATTTCTATAACTGCTCTCTGCCTCTTTCTCTTGTGATAGAATATATTTTAATTATTACTACAAAATACAAAAATTAATTTATGCACCTTTGAAACTTGAACAATTAATTAATTTACCCGATTACTTATCATTTTGATGCATCTATATTTAATTTTTATACTTGTTCCAGACCAAGACATTATATTTGGGCATAATGTGTTTTGCAACTAACTGTTTAAGCTTGATCGCTTTTGAAGTTGGTTCATACGGCTCATTCCGTTCTGTTTCGAGACCCGCCGTCTTTAACAATTTATTACGCCGAAATTACAGTAATTAAAACTCTAGTCTCATATGATTAAACGACAGAGGGGGGAGGGAATACGATAACGTATAGAAAATGATTTCTTATTTAACACAGATTTGAGAATTAAAATAATGATGGTAGACATGCTTGCGGCATTTGTATCAACAATAATGCTAACAATTGGTGATATGTATGGAATCCCGTATCTTTACTTGCCATGGCTTATCAATACTATCGAAGGAATAGCTCTTTATGAAGGACCAGCTCTTTTCGGATTAGCGTACAATGTGTTACCTAATGCAAGCATACCGGCAGGACTATTTATATTTATAACACTGCTTTTATACGGTAAAAATACTGAAAAATATGCAATTGAAATTAGAAAATTTTATTGATAAATATGGCAAAGAATTATTTAATTTAAATTTGTAGTAGTAATAATTTGTGTAATAATGAAGAATTTTTCAAAAACCTTTAATATCGAGGCTCACATTTTTTGAGAATATAAATAATAATATAAATTAAGAATATAAATAATATAAATTGTACTATATATCAAGCATCTTTTTATATACAACATCATATAGGCAAGAAATTTAAAATATCACATATTCTTTCAAATATTTACATTTGTATATTTTACTTTTTCAGTGGAAGAACTATATATTTGGAAAGATGTTTTCGTAAGTTTTAAACGTTGCTGGACAAATTATAATAAAAATAATAATTTAAATACAAAATCATCAAGGGTGATGAATAAAGAATTATCCAATGAAAATAAAGAAAATCTTAACATATCTTCAGGAAAATTGAAAGATCATCAAAAAGTCGTAAAAGATGTAAAAAACAATTTATCGATTAAAAATCATTGTAGCAAAAGCCCGTTTACAGAAGTGACTGGTTAAATCAATAAATCAACATATCATAAATAGGCCAGGCGCCAGAGACAAAAACATAAGTTCATAATGCATAATTAATACTCCTTACAACCTTACAACCTTATTGTAATTAGATATGCAATTAGATAAATTACGCATAATTAATACTCCTTACAACCTTACAACCTTACAACTTTACAACCTTATTGTAATTAGATATGCAATTAGATAAATTACGCATAATTAATACTCCTTACAACCTTACAACCTTACAACTTTACAACCTTATTGTAATTAGATATGCAATTAGATAAATTACGCATAATTAATACTCCTTACAACCTTACAACCTTACAACTTTACAACCTTATTGTAATTAGATATGCAATTAGATAAATTACGTAAATTATTCAGCCAAATATAATTGCTTCGAGAGAGAGAGAGAGAGAGAGAAAGAGAGAGAGAGAAAGCGCGAGGGAGAAGGAGGGGACTGAGAGAGAGAGAAAGAGAGAGAGAGCGAAAGAAGGAGGGAAGGAGGAAGAGAGAGAGAGATATGAAATATAATTTGTTATGTACACATATATAAATTTTATACGCATGCGATAAAAATATTATTTCAGAGAAATAAAACTATAAAAAACTATATATTACATACCAGTTAATTGTTGCGATAATCGTTTGATAATGATTCGGTCGACACTCCCGATAACCGATTCGCGATAATACATTTAGCGTCGAAATAATAGTCAAGACATTATTCTCATAATGATTCCAGGAATGCATCCGAGATATTCAATAAGAGAATTTGTCCCGCTCGTAAAATGGCAGGTTGCCAAGATGTGTAGAGACGCGCACAAATTCTCATATTGGATATCATTTTGAGAATCATTTGAAGAAGTATCTCAACAATTTCGAGATCGTTTGTTTCTCTCTCGCACACCGACGCAACACCGACACAAACGCGAGGCAACGTAAATGCAATACTGAAGGATAATAATGTGGACGACGATCGCGGAGATCAATTAATCACGAGCGGAGATATTGATTAATGCGTTACAACGGGTCTGATATCGATTTCCTCATCTTTATCCGCGCGTACGATCAATTTTTTACGCGACGCGATCTCACTTCGCGACTCCGAATTCGACTCTGCGCGAGTACAACGGTAACGCGCATGCGCATACCGTGTTTTCCTTTACCACCGTCGATTTACAATCTGTTTGATGATCAACAATGATAATATGCTCAAAAACATTTACGTAGGCATATTGAGTACGAAAATACAATGCTCGTTCGCACACACGACTTATTTTTAATGAGAATATAAGGTGCGAAAAGAGTGGAAAAGTGTCATCTTATTTTGAACTCGTTACGTCACGGCGCGCAACGCAACATAGTTACATGCGCGTTTGCGCATGTGCGCTTAAATTTTAAGGCCATAGAATAGAAAAAATATATAAAGGCTATAGAGTGAAACAGTGAAACCAGGGTATCGATTCTGTAATTCAAGTGAGGATGAAAATTACAAAAATGAGCGAATTTACTTTTGGATAAATGAAATTATAAATTTTCTAGTAAATTCATTCATTTTTGTAATTTTTACCCTCACTTACAGAATCGATATCCAGATTAGCATCAAATACATTCGTCGGGATTGGTCAATATCCAATCTCAATTTCTCAATATAGCCTGAATATAAATCATAAACTTTTTCATCACTTGATTATTTTTTCTATGGTGTCTCTGTGGTTCATAGAGTGGCTCTGTAGTGGATCTTGATATTGTTGATTGTATATCATTTGTAGGTTATTTTGTCGTGTGAGAACTATTTTAAAACTATTTCGTGAAATCATGTTATATAAATGTATCTTGGTAAATTTGTAAAATATTTAGTACGTTTCAATTGATTGCTTTGTGATCCTATAATTTTATAATATAATGCTGTTTTTTTTCTGCGACGATTATTGATGTCGTGATCAGATCCTTTACTGGTATCGTTGATGTATTTCTTTATATGAAAATACTTTAGATCTCAGTTAATGATTTTTAAAATATTAATTTCTTATATTTAATAATCAAGTTTTAAATAAAATAATCTATTCATTATATATTCTCAATTCCATAATCTTTCTAGCTAAATGTATTCTATTATAATATCTAATATAATTTTATTATATTTATTTCAGGAGATAATAATATTCTACTGAAATTTAGTTGAATATATTGAAAAAGGATGTCAGATGACTCGAACTTGTATAGATTAGACGGAACTGAAGGAAATCAAGCAGGAGGCTTGATCATTCGTAAGAAAGCTTCAGATCATACTTTTAAGAAGCCTTCTCTGTTAGGCCTCGAGAAGCTTGCAGAACGAAAAAGAAGAGAACATTCGCAGGAACCTACTAGCTCAAAGTCTGACAGATATGAAGGAAAAGACAGGAGATATCGATCTTATGAAGAAGAAACTCCTACTCACACTGGTGGTGTCAACTCTGAAGCACAACGGAGATTAGAATCACGACTCAAACGTCAAAGATTAAATGTAGATGATAGAGGCTTTAGAAGTTCACACAGGAGTCGTGAGAGAGATAGAGACAGACGAAGAGACAGGGACAGGGAAAGTCGGGGTAGAGATAGTATGAGGCAAACGCCTCTTAGATTCAAAGATGAACCCCAGACACCCAAATTCCGAATGAAAGATCCTACTTCTAAGAGTAATTGGGATGACGACGAAGATGAAGAACCACGACGATCAAGCTGGGATCATCCAACACCGAATATTTATAATAAAGATGGTCGCGACAGCATCAGAAGTGAATTTACTCCTTCCTACAAGTACAATCCTTGGAACAAAGATTTTAAGAATTCTGGTATCACTCCAATGGTAGATGGGGAAGAAAAGCAATTGTGGGAGGAAGAACAGCAAAGATTAGATAGAGAATGGTATGCATTGGATGATGGAGAGAACAATGCTTTTGCCAACGTGTCCGAGGAATACACAAGAAAGAAGGAAATGGAGCTGGAGGCCAGGAGACAGAAACGCCTTTCCGCACAACAACGACAGATAAATAAGGACAATGAATTGTGGGAGCGTAACCGTATGTTAACATCGGGAGTTGTGAGCTCGTTGGATCATGACGACGATCCCGATGACGAGGGTGAAGCGAGAGTTCACTTGTTGGTCCATAACGTGGTCCCGCCATTCCTGGATGGTCGCATCGTGTTCACGAAACAACCAGAACCAGTTGTACCTGTGCGCGATCCCACTTCTGACATGGCCCTGGTAGCGAGGAAAGGCTCAGCGCTGGTCAAGGCATATCGCGAACAAAAAGAAAGACGTAAAGCACAGAAAAAGCATTGGGAATTGGCTGGAACGCACATTGGTAACATTATGGGTGTACACGATCGACGTAAAGACGACAAGGAGCATGCGGGACAAGAAACGGATTTTAAAGCCGGACAGAAATACGCACGGCACATAGGAGCAGGAGAGATAACGGGGGAAGCTAAACACAGATCGATTCAGCATCAAAGAAGAAGTCTCCCCGTATTCGCAGTACGCCAAGAATTGCTAAACGTTATCAGAGAGAATAGCGTCGTTATAATAGTAGGTGAAACAGGTAGCGGTAAGACGACTCAATTGACGCAATATCTTCATGAAGACGGCTACAGTCGTTATGGTATGATTGGTTGTACTCAGCCTCGAAGAGTTGCTGCTATGTCTGTTGCAAAAAGAGTGTCTGATGAAATGGCAACTGCTCTAGGCGACAAGGTCGGATATGCGATACGTTTTGAAGATTGTACTTCGAAAGATGTAAGTAACAATAGTAGTAACATGTATTCTAACATGTAAAATTTCTACACAAATTTGTTTCCACATTATAACTAATAATATTACATAATTGATCTTTTTTTTACAGACAATCATCAAATATATGACTGACGGTATTCTACTGAGAGAAAGTTTAAGAGAAGGAGATTTGGATCGTTATAGTGTTGTTATAATGGACGAAGCTCATGAACGGTCGCTTTCCACCGATGTATTATTCGGTCTTCTTAGAGAGGTAACGCGCATTCGTGTTTTTATTTTGTATTATCTAAATATTTTCTTCCTCAAAACAGTCTTTTTAACTTTAAAAATACTTACAGGTTGTCGCTAGACGGCATGACTTAAAATTAATAGTAACTTCCGCAACGATGGATTGCAGCAAGTTCTCCGCTTTCTTCGGTAACGCGGCAACATTTCAAATACCTGGACGCACATATCCCGTCGAGGTGCTGCATGCGAAGAATCCAGTGGAGGATTACGTAGATGCGGCTGTCAAGCAAGTAATGCAGATTCATTTGCAGCCTAAGAGCGGCGACGTACTGGTTTTCATGCCTGGCCAGGAGGACATTGAAGTTACTTGCGAAGTTCTGAAGGAACGTTTAGCTGAAATCGAATCAGCACCTTCTCTCTCCATACTGCCCATTTATTCCCAATTGCCGTCGGATCTGCAGGCAAAGATCTTCCAAAAGTCTGAGGATGGTCTTCGCAAATGCGTTGTGGCAACTAATATAGCAGAAACATCGCTGACAGTCGACGGAATTGTTTTTGTTGTCGATTCTGGATACTGTAAACTGAAGGTGTACAATCCTCGAATAGGTATGGATGCTCTGCAAGTATATCCCGTATCGAGAGCCAACGCCGACCAACGGCAAGGGAGAGCTGGTCGTACCGGTCCTGGTCAGTGCTACAGATTGTACACGCGGAGACAATATTTGGATGAATTATTATTAACTGGAGTTCCCGAGATACAACGTACGAATTTAGCTAATACGGTGCTCCTGCTGAAATCATTGGGAGTACAGGATCTATTAGCGTTCCATTTCATGGATCCGCCGCCACAGGATAATATACTGAACTCGTTGTATCAGTTGTGGATTTTGGGTGCGCTCGATCACACTGGACGCCTTACCGCTCTCGGCCGGCAAATGGCCGAATTTCCTTTGGATCCGCCACAATGCCAGATGCTCATAGTCGCCTCACAACTCAACTGCACCGCGGATATCCTCATTATCGTCTCCATGCTGTCAGTTCCATCAATTTTCTATCGACCCAAGGGACGCGAAGAAGATTCGGATTCGGCGCGTGAAAAGTTTCAAGTACCGGAATCAGATCACCTAACATATTTAAACGTGTACAATCAATGGAAGGCAAATGGTTATTCAAGTTCCTGGTGTAACGATCACTTTATACACGCGAAGGCGATGCGTAAGGTGCGAGAAGTACGGTCGCAGCTCGAGGAGATTCTGAAACAACAAAAAATGGACGTCGTCAGTTGCGGTACCGACTGGGATATCGTGCGAAAATGCATCTGCTCCGCCTATTTTCATCAAGCAGCACGTTTGAAGGGTATCGGCGAATACGTCAACTGTCGTACTGGAATGCCGTGCCATCTTCATCCCACTTCCGCGCTATTTGGCATGGGCTTTACGCCCGATTACGTCGTATACCATGAGCTCGTGATGACCGCTAAGGAATACATGCAATGCGTCACCGCGGTAGATGGTCACTGGCTGGCCGAGTTGGGTCCCATGTTCTTCAGTGTGAAGGAGACCGGTCGGAGCGGTCGCGCGAAACGACGGCAAGCGATGCAGCACCTTCACGAGATGGAGCATCAAATGAAAGAGGCCGAAGAGGAGATGAAGGCACGTGCCCAGGAGCAACTCGAACGCGAACAGGCGTCGGTCCGGAAGAAGGAAATATTAACGCCTGGCATTAGGGAACCGGGTACCCCCGCTCCCTATCGCAACACTCCCGGAAGATTAGGATTGTAATTAGTTTTCCTATGTATAATGTGTATAATGTTTTGACACGAGTGCTGTTGCAAATATCTTATTATCTGCCAAAAGAAAAGCGTACAACATATATATATATATATATATATATATATATATATATTTAACAGGCATTTTTTTTCTCTATAACGCGGTTCCGTGATACAGAAACTGTGCATAATTAACAGTTAAATTTGTATATAACCGTATATAATTAAAATCATGGAAAGAGAACGGCGATATAATCCAACAATTCATCACTATGGCGCGCTCTTCTAGCATGTAGCATTAGTGATATAATTCTTGATCTTAATCTCCTCTTTATTAGATTTCCATGCTTTTCTTGCAATGTGGAAACTACTTATCTATAATGTATGATTACATTACAGTGATTACTTTCCAATTTAGATAACAATATATTTCCTGATTAAATACAGAACAGATAAATATACATGTATGACAATTAAAAAATTCTTTAAATAATAATTATTGTACAGAGTACTATGTATAAAATATTAATGTTGAATATGATATTTATAAGATTTTTTTGTAAATAAAACTATTTTTATCGTGATATCGACAAAATATTAAAAACTCGTAACCATGATGAAATTGGTGTGTAACTGCTTAATTCGATGAATTAATTAAAAAGCGTTTATATAGTTAATCCTCGATCACGTTAATCATAGTGCGCATCAATAAACACATAGATTTGAAGATTTTAAAAAATTTAGCAGAATATCCATTCTCTTCTAATTGAAATAATTATACACTCAAATATAAAATAAATACAAAAATTTTCTGCAATCATGCTAGCAATTACAAAAGATTCAGTACAAAATTTTACCTGATTATGATTCCACTAGATTGTTTGAATCATTGCTCTAACTTATTATCTCTAAATAATTTATTAATAAGCGGAAAAAACACGATGTAATCTTTAAAAAATATATAATTTTAAATCCATGTTATTTTTTAAAAGAAAAAAATTACGTAAAATGTCCAATATTGAATCATGAGAGAATATAGGTTTAAAAAAAATATAAGTAAAATTATTTTATTTTAATGAAGAAATGGCACGTAACTAAAGATGCATAAGCCATACTTTAAACTTAATCCGTTCTTTAAATGTAAAAATTCTGTATGCCTTGAAAAAGTGTTAGATTATTTGTTAGAATTTTTACATATGCACACACTTGTTATTTTGAAGGAATGAAGGAAAATATCATGAGCTAATTGAATGGCAGTGTATCGAAATAATTGTGCAATGCTTTTCACACACAAATAAAGGTTGGTTCAGATATTTTAATCAGCATTAAACCATTCATTCATTATTTATAATTGATGGGAGCTAAGAATTATGTACAGAACTCTTGAGTTATTTTTGAAAATTATGAAATAGACGGATATTGTTCTTTGTACAAATATTGTCAAATAGTTTCAGCTCTTTAAATTACTTAAAAGCCTTAATATAGGCTGAGTGCGAGACTTGAGAGATCTACAACTTTGCCTAAGACTCGATTGTCCGCGTTTTATAATGGTGACGCATACATCATCTTTCTCATCCAAATCTGTATGTAATTCATATTTTTCAAATTCTGTTAGAACCGCATCTAAATTTTCAACTCTCTCAATAAGTAACACAGCCACTTCCCTCCAAACCTGTAATACAATAAATAATCGTTATAAAAATTGACTATGCTCTATTAAAATTTTATAAATATATATTATCTTAATAATTAATGATAGCCATATTTAATTCCATGTACATAAAATGTTGCGAGATTATCAATAATATGCTTTAATTTAATATTAAAAATTATTTTTCTATAAAGAACAATTACCTTAGTCTCATTAGTCTCATTTATCATGTTCGATTCGATTTTCTTATTATATTTTTTTTTGTTTTTCTTTTGCGAGGTACGTGGTTCCGATTGTACCGCACATACACTACATATAGCGCTAATAATCGCTAAAGATTCACTGCAAGTTGAGGCTCTAAGTAAGAAGTTTTTAAAAGACACTGGTTTATCCCACTCAGGGATGGGTAATGTCTGTAAGCAAAGAGACGTTCGCAGCATTTGTATGCAATCAAAGTCCGGACAAGAAGACTGAGACAGTGAATTTGCAAGGCACGCTATAGTCCTTAATTGTTCAGAATAATGAGCTTCACGTAATCTTTCTACAGCATCTAGCGGAACCAATATGTTGCATGGTCTGTTCCGTTTTCCATCCGTATCAAATATTTGTAATATTTGCGGAATAATTTCTTCATCCAATTCTTTAAGCTCGGAAGATATTTGAGAAAGAAAAATTGAAGATGATTTTGCACTCGCTGCTAAAATACGTAGTATGGCATTTCTCGCTGAAAGCAGTCTTAACATGCATATACGTGTCTCCTCTTGCATTCTTGGATTCTTTTCGCTCTGGTTAAGTGGCTCCCACCCACGAACAACCTATTTAATGCCATAATTTATAAAATTTATTACTGGTCAAATTGGAGTCTTACACTTCTTTGAATTATACCGCGTCTCTCAACTATATTTACCTCCAAGTCACGATTATCTCGTAAAGATGACCATCTAATTGTATCAAGATGAGGTTGTATATGCATACTATTCAAAGTAGAAATTAAAGAGGCAGTACTGTCGCACCAACATAAATCAAGTAACATCTTATCTACTGTTGTCATAGCGAAATGAAACGAATTATCTAATCGTTCTCTCAACTCTACAAATTCCTGAATTTTTATAAAACTCCCGTATTTATATGCAAACGTTAAATGATCTGCGCTCTAAAAAAACAATCCATGGATTAGACTTAAATAGATTCTCGTCCATTGTTTCTTAAATCTATTATACTTGAAAACACATACATCCTTATAGTTGGCTATGAAAAATTTCGCTGTTTGATCGAGAGTTGTTGAGGCCAGAGGCAAGTTACCGAGAGGCGCGAGAAGAGGCGCATAGAGATGACCCAGTGAATCTAGTTGAAGGTGTTTTACATCAAGTAATGCGAACGTATGATCAGCCGCGACCACTAGACCAGCCTCCAAGTAAATACGCACGAGCAAAATTTTTATGTGAAAATTTACAGGACTCGACAGAAGACCGTGTTCCAATAACGACATTGCCCTGTAAGTCCATCGTTTTAAAAATGTGCATGTTTTCAAAATATTATTAGCAATTTCTTATTAATATCATAATTAGCTTTGTTATCATATAAAAACATATTATTACTTATAAAGAAAAGACGCATCATTAGTGTCAACCCATAATTGATGCAGCAAATGGGTAGCTAATAGAATGTATGGATCAGCTGGACAGAAATCAGTTGGCAATCTATCTTGCATTGGACATAATTCATTGCCTTTTTCATACAAATCACATAATCTCTTTATTAATTGTTCCTGTTTACTTCTGTCCACTAAAGGAGGATGATAAAAACCACAAATACGCCGCAATTGCTCCATGTGAATATGTCTTTGCATCTGTTGTACAGTAGTTGGAAACTCATCTGATGTAATACCTATATCTTTTTCAATCTATAATATCGTAAATAGTATTACATTAACCAATTTCAAAATATTTTAGTTAATATTATTGGAATAAAAATTGCACTCTTTTGATGAATTTGATTTTAATATTTGTAATATTTCGCATATATAAATATATTGAAATTTAAGTATCTCTTATCAGAGATTAATTTTAAAAATCCAAGGTTTGGTCTCCTTACCTTTTCAAATAATTCAATCTTCATCTTGGGTGTAAGCAGATTTAAATATAATCGTAAATCACCAACCACACAGCCCTTTTCTCCAAATTGGGTGAAATATTCACGCATAAAGTCTACTGATTGCAAACTACACTGTAGATCTTCACTAATATGGGCGTGTTTTAATAAATCTAAACGAGCCAAATATGGTGCCCGAATACTCTTTTCAGATGTATTAATAATATTGTTAAGAAAATCCAAGCATTCTGTCGGTTGTTGAAACTTTAAGGCCGCCAAAAGATAACTTTGATAAAATGCCCAATTGTCAATGCTATATAATAAATATGACAATTTTACATATAAATGTTGACATCACTATACTATCAAGATACTATAGATATATAAAAGTGTATGTGAGAGAAAAAATATTGCAATTAAATTTTACTCACTTCTCTTTAATAAGTTCGCGATATGCATTAGCAGCCTCGGAAAAACGTTCTAGTTTTAACAGAATTGTAGCTTTCTGTTGTGGTACATATGAAAGATGCGAAGCTAAAGGACTAGACAATACATTTAATATTTCTTCATTTTTGTCTTGCAATTCCAAAATCATTAAATAAAGCTGTACTTCTTGTTCTGCTTCCATTTTTCCTTCCCTTACTAATTTTAGGACCTAATATAATGTAATCAAAACAACTATATTAATCATCTGCACAATGTCTATTCGTGTATAAATTGATAGACTGTCTGTAACTAGATATAAATATATGCAGTTAGAATAGCAACAAGAAATAACAATCAATAAACAAACCATTCTCTCTGCCAATGGTAAAATAACTCCCTTTGCTAACTTTTGATCCGCGTGAATGGCTTGCATGACTGTACTCATAACAGCCCAGAAATAATATGGATTCTTAGGTTTCATTTTGTACAAGTTAAGAGCAGTTTGCTGCTGCTTTTTATAATCACCAAGGCGAACGTACGACATGAAAAGATGCGTTAAAAGCTCCTCGTTATTTGGATCTGCTTTTGCAGCAGCTTCATAAACCTCGCTAATTTTGTCAGCTATAAATTCAATACAAAAATATTTTAAACAATAAAATAATCATATAATATAACTCTCCCATTCAAAATTAATAAGCAAGTAAAAATCTTACGTTGATGTATCTCCCTGTAGCAGATAGTCATTGCCTGCAGAGTAGAATCCTCGCATGGTACCTCAGACCGCACTTTGTCCATGATAATTTGACACTCATCCTCCTTACCTAGCCGCAACAGAGCCAGAGCCTTGAGTACCCTGGCGCATTGATTACTCGGGTGTTTCTTGAGCACCTTGTCCGCCTCTTGGAGCGCCTTCTTATTGTTGCCATTATCTAGCCAGTCTGAAACCCAGAGAAGCTTCGTACTGGGTGCCGTTATATAACCTCGTCATCCTTGATCCCGAGGATACGACCGGAGAGTTCGACGGGGATGAACACGATGGATATCAGATCCAATCTCGTCGTTGATAAAGTTATACGTACCGTAAATCGGTCGCAAACGACGTTCATTCACCGTGTTGTCCACATGGGTCTTAGTCGCCATGATACTTTTTATGGTAACATAAAATCAACAAACCGGAGACACGAACAATCCTCGATTTTCTCGACTCATCTTCAACGAGTTTAAAGGCGGATCCGAATTATTCAGATATCTTTATGCCCCAAATCGGCTTTAATAGCTGTGCGTACTATCATGGAAAAAGATATTTATTTTTGTTCTTTAGAAAAGCATGAGTGTGTAAAAAAGACCGGCAAAGCGCAACACTACAGGTCTGTTCTTTGTAGCTGCATCATGTTACATTTTTTATTCACAAAATGGGATGTGTGTAATCATGCGTTGAAAAGAAAAAAAGAGGACAAATAGATAATACAGGCTTCAAAAATAATGCGGCTATAAAAAATAAACATTATTTAGACAAAGAAAATATTAAAGACCCTCTAGTTTTTTAGATCTCTAAAAAATTAGAGATCCTCTATTTTTTTAGAGGATCTCTATAAAAATATGTATGAAATGCTCTATTTAACATTAAGCTAGTATCAGACAACAGCCGGTACCGGACTTAGCATTGAAGTTGAAGATTAAAGATCGAATTGAAAATTTGACTAAACATAACAAAAAAAAGCTAAAATTTCTTTGTCTTAATTGGTAAAATTTCAATTTTCAACCTTTAACTCAATTTTCAATATATAATCTGACATGGGCTTATGAATTAAACATTGTATAGGATTGATCAGTCAGAACGTGAAAAAAACTTAATTTTTTTTTCGTTCTGATTGGTCAAATCCTATGCAATCTCAATCAGATATCTGCCAAATTGATGGAAATGCGACATTATTAGCCTGCGGTCCTAATCTAACCTAAACTAACCCAACCCAACCTAATCAAACAAGTTACATTTCACGCGCGCAAATTCAGCTTTGTGTTTATTAATATAATACAACAATACAACATATTTTTCCGGCTTCAAAAATTAAGCTTACAAATTCGCAATCATGTGGAATGAAAGCTCCACAAATTTTGGTGGCGGATTTCTGGATGAAAGCACACAAGGAGGAAGTGGAAAAAAGAGCTCGCAAAGTAATGACAGGAGCATCGTTCCTGTAATGATAAAACATATCACATCCTCAACAGGGGATTTGCAGATTGCCGGCAAAACTGTAAATACTCTTACATTCGTTGGAATCGTACGTAATATCGATCAGGATACAACAAAAATCTCTTTTACTATCCAGGATGACTCAGGTGCTTTGTATAAAATATTTCTACTTTAATGATAATATGTATAGATATATGTATAATTGCAAAAAAATTTTGTTAAATTGATATTTCATGACTTGAATAAATTTCACATTCATATATATTAAGAACTCTTTGCAATTAAAAAATCTTTGAAGCTTGCATATAATTATTGCAATATAATTATTTATTTGAATATTAAACGATTATTATACAATTATACTAAATAATTATTGTACGATTATATTATTTAAACTTGCTTTGATTTTTATTTTACATAATAGGTACTGTCACAGCTATCATGTGGTTAGAGGCAGATAAGAATCCTACAGAAAGTATTTGTACACAAGTTAATACATATGTACGAGTTTATGGATTATTACGCAATCAAAATAATCAACAACACGTGCTGATTCTGCGTATGCATCCTCTCGAAGACTTGAATGAACTGACATGCCACTTTATGGAAGTCATGTATTTTATATTGAAGGCTAAAAAACCTGTGGAAGAATCCAGTTTACCTCAAACAACATTTGACAGTACAATGAGCGGTATGTCACCCGATCAAGTGGCAGTTCTTGAAATTGTTCGATCATCAAATGAAGCAGAATGTGGTATTGAGAAACGTGATATTCTGACACGACTGCCAAAACATGTTATACCTCGCATAGATGAAATATTAGATTTTCTTCTCTGCGAAGGACACATTTACACAACCAGTTCAGAAGATTTCTTTAAAGCTACCTAAATGCATATTGCATATTAAGAAAAAAATCTTATTTAAATTTATATCTAATACAAGCTAATTTAAGTTTACTACATATATATCTGTTATAATTTTTTTCTCTTTAGTTAAGGATAAGGAATTACAAATATTTTTTTTTCTTTTGTATGTAACAGCAACAAATTAATGAAATATAAGTGATAATTTGATGTCAAATACACAAATGTATACTTTTTAAGTTAAAATACTTTAATGTTATAAATATTTAATAAAATATTTTTTTATCAAATATCTCTGAAAAAACATTCTTTGTAGCTAATTTTAATATATAGGTTATATTAGACATCATATATATCTTCTATTAGTTACAGATTCCATAATAAATTGGAATTATATTACTAACATAATTATTTCGATTTTTATAACATGCACATTATTATTATTATAATTTTTTTTTTTAATGACGCGCGTGCATCCAATAAAAAAGTTTGTTTCCTAGTTATCTCCAATAAATTCTCCTATTGGATATATTTGAGGATCACCAAATAAAATGTCTCGGCCATTTTGATGCGCAATGAACGAAGTAGATACGAGTCTCTCATCTTACTCAAACTCACTATTCATGTCTGTCGTTTGAAACTTTTTAACATTGTTTTTAAATATATGCAGCATTGCGCGTTTTGCTGATATTTCCGCAAAATAATATAACGAATGTTGCGTGTTAAGATAATTATAATTTCTTCATATTTTCTCATTTGTCGTTAAATGTCTTTCTGAATTTTTTCATGTGTATCTGTGTAACTTGCTACTATGAATGATACGAACGATGTTATGACAAACATATACGACACCTTGATACACTTGCGGTATCCACATATCACTAACGCAGAGTCAAAAGACTTGGAAGCAACAATTCTTAGTGGTGAAAATCGCATTTGCTTACTTTCTTGGCTTCTGACAGAGAAATCGCCGTCGATCAACGCACATTTGGAAAGGCTGAAGGATGTTGCCTTGGAAGGTATCTTTCTCTCACTTGTAATTTGGTGTAGTTATTTTCAACAATACAATTAAGCCTAGAATATATAATATATATAATATTTCATAAGAATTTTGTATATTTATGTGTACAATAATATAAAAAGCACACGTAACACCTATGACATATAATTAAAATAGCACATATTTTTTTAGATCAATTATTCGAATATTACTCTCAGATTGGGATCTGTAACAACAAGGATATATTACTGGTTTGTTTATAACATAACATATTTTGTTATATATAAGATGATAATAAACTACTATTACTTATATATTAAAGATATTTAATTTTATATTAGGGTAAATGTTCCTTGAAGGAACAGCTACCAACTTTAAGATTATTATTGGATTTTATGAAAGAAGTACATATGAAACCGTTTGTGAATGTAAATGAGACAGAAAGAACACTTCATGACATTATTAAGGTATGTTAATATTGAATAAATACATATATTACACATCTGCTTAATATATTGGTAATTAATATGTATATTTTTTTTTGTTTAGCTATATATTGATGATGTCGATCAAATACCTTCTCTTTCTGTGAAACCAAAAGTAAGTTACGCTGAAAGTATTAAATATTTCAAAGAAAGTGAAACAGAAATGTTGAGTAATGATTGCGGAGATATTAAAACTAACTTGGATGAAGATTCATGTGTAGAGGTATGACAGAAAAAAAAGACTATTAATGAAATAATAAACAATTATAATGTACAAATTATTATTTTATATAAATATTATTATAGACTGATGATAGACTAATCAATGATAAACAAAATACATTATTTGAGAAGGAAAAAGAGAAGTTTATAGAAGCATTTCAGACAATTTCGTCTTGGCCAGTACAAACCAGAAATTTAGACAAAAATATTTCTGATTCCATTTGTTCAGACATTAAAAGTGTATGCTCTGATTTTAACACTTTAAAAAAGGTACAGGAATTTTATATTCATTGTCACTATATAATGTAACGTTAATATATGTCAAAATATACCTCCAATCATATTTGTGTGCAGGTGCTGCAAGCAAAAGACGAGATATGTAATAAGAAAAATTTAGCAGCATTACCGAAGACTACTACACCTTTAAATAAAGTTATAGAAGATATAGTTATTTATAACGAAGAACTCGAAAATTGGAGTATGACAAATAATAGCGTTGATTAATTTTGTATTTATACTTATACATAATTCTAGCTATAATTATTAAGCATAATTTATATATATGTAATGTAATCCAAATATTTGTAATATACACACCAAGAAAAATCTATTTCTGAAATTTTATTATACATGTAATTTTATTATAGCAGTTTTTATAGTATAAAAGGGGGGATATATATATTGATAATAAAATTAGAATAAAACAATTCTTTAAATTATATTTTTATATTTGTCAATACATCTCTCTAGTAGTTGACAATTTAAGATCTAGGTCGTTCTTTTTTCTCTTTGTAGAGGGCTAATAAAGAAACATTCGCGACCTTCACCACCTTGAATCGTACTCCAGGAATATCACCAACAGCATGACCCTTCCGACCGAAACCCGCCACTAGAACTTCGTCGTTTTCCTCAATGTTATTGAGACAACCGTCCCTTGGTACAAAAGCTGTGATCTTTTTTCCATTCTTGATCAACTGTACTCTGACACACTTACGGATAGCGGAATTTGGCTGTTTGGCTTCTACTCCACTATTAAAAAATAAAATACCAATAAGTTACATCCTAAATGCAAATTTTAATAATAAAATTTTAAAATATATAATTGTACAGGCTACATACACTTTTTCTAAAACAATTCCTTTAGCATGAGAGGCACCACCGAAAGGATTAGCCTTCCATCTGGTTCCCAAATGTGCCTTTTTGTAGTCTTTGTCGTTCCATCGCTGCTCACGTCTGTGATTCACGTGCTTGCGTGCCGTGCGAAGACCTCTAGGTTTACCTACAATGCAAAATGAGTAACTTTAATGGTTATGTTCTGTGTATATTATTTTCCTGGATAAAAACGACTATCCTTTGTGAATAAAGATTTTAAAAGTATCTTTATATACAAAGATAATATAAAAATATATTAATATTTATAATAATTGACATTAATATCTCCGACAGTATCGGTCCACTTATAAGACACGCTACCACGATCGAATCACGGAAAAAATATATAGACATGTGTTTGTAAATACGAATAATAAAAGAAATATATTGAAAGAAATATATCGGCAAAGAATTCATCAAAATAGACGTCTTTATAATAGTTTCTTGAAAAATACAATAATATTAGAGAAAAGTCTTTACACATACCCATGCTTGGTGTGCTTTATAACCGGAAAGAATCAATCGTCCATGAGCATAAATGCAAATCGAATAGTGAATTCAAACTGCATCATATCCGTTGTCCGTTGTACTGAATCCGATGGGAGAATTTGCATTCTAGGGACTTTAGCCAATAGTAAAGCCCGTATCAGACTACGCATTGGCCGCGTTCAGCAGAGAAAACCTCTTAGTAGCAATCGAATGTGATTGGTTCTTACCTTTAGAACCAACGAATCAACGTCAAGTGTTGACAAGACGATAACTGAGCGCTTTCTCTGCTGAACGCGGCCATTGAAAATTGAAGATTGAAGATTAAAGATTGGAATTTGACTAATCAGAACAAAAGGGACTAAAATTTCTTTATTCTGATTGGTCAAATTTCAATCTTGAATCTTGAATCTCAATCTTCAATGCGTAGTCTGATACGAGCTTAAGCCTTGTGTCCACGATGCTAAAACTCGGACCGAGAAATGTGTAGCCAATCAATTTGCAGCTTTTAGGAAAAAGCGACAATTTTATTGGCTACACGTTTTTTCTTGGACCGAATTCTAGCATTGACCTAATTTACACCGATATATTTTAATACGTATTAAGTACTACACTGGCCAATCATAGCCATTCCATTCTTTAGAGGAAAGGCTATGATTGGCCAGTGTAGTACTTAGTACGATAAAGGGTGCGATCGGGGATACGCTATTAGCGCTAACAGCGTCGTTCTATCTTTGTTACTTATTGAAAGTTGAACAAGGACAGAACACGCTCATAGCGCTAAAAAT